AAGTTAAAAACCACCCAGTTTTGACATTTTCCCTATTTTAAACACTCGATCACTCCACCTCTTGTATATAAAACAAAACAGAAAGTAAACCCTGACATACACAATCATTCATTTGTGCATTCTAATCTGGTAAAGTTATTTATTATATTTTATCAGATAGGTCTGAAGCCATCAAAATCTAGACTTTGATGTCAAACGATTATTGCCACATTAATGCCACATGTCCAGGTCTGCAGGCATCCAAGCAAGTGCACAAACGTATCTCCCCACCCGAACGAGCATGTGGCAGTGATCATCTCTACTAGCGGCAAAGAATCAGCCGTACAAATGCCACATTCCTGCCATGGCAGTCGATCTCGCTAAAGTGGTACTCATTTATTTTTATCAAACCTGTTGGACTTTTTTTATTTGTAGATTCAAATATAGTGTTAATATATGACTTCATCTTCTTGGTTCTTTCGGTAAAGTCACGTAGAAGGGAAATAATGAAATAATAAAAATAAACATTATAAAATACAATTCTTACGACGTTTCGGCGACAACGCAAGCAGCCGTCCTCAGGTGAAAAACAGGTCTGTCGGAAAGCGTCTTTCGTCTCTACGTGACTTTACCGAAAGAACCAAGAAGATGAATCCCTGCAGTCACGAAAGCTTTAAATCGAAATATATTACTTACGAATTATGTCATGAAGAGGTGTTGCTGAAATATTGTTTTTATTCCCCCATATAATCAATAATCATACTGATCAGGTAACTGCTATCCACTTTGTGTGAGGGACCCTTCACCCAGCCAACCGTGCCTTTGAGTGAGTGCCTCTATTCAAGTCTAAGCTCAATACCTTTACTTTGTTTCTCAGCCTATAACTACTTATTTTATGCACAATAAATATTCCCACTGCTTCTGTACAGTGACTGCAGATCCGATATTTACCTTCAAATTTAGAAACATGCGTTTAGAGTATTTGGCTGCAATATATTTCCACATGATAAACCACTTCGTTGAGCTATAATTTGTGGCCATGTCACTTCTGAAAAAAAGCTACATAGCTCAGTGGGCGTTACCTGTTAAAATATAGTTATATTTAGACTTAGATATTGTATACATCCACATTGCGTTGCATTGTAAAGTATAGACCCACAGAGAGACCTATAGACTGATATAAAGACCTGTCACTAAATGCCCCACCATAAAACACAGATATTCACATTTAAAATAAATATAAATCCACATTACATCGCATTTTCGGAAGTCAACCTCCCAACGGTGGCAATCACGGTCTCTTAACTTTGAGTAATTGTCACATTGCCTTGATAATTCAACGTAATGACATCCACTCAGCACTGGACAGACATACCTGCACTGGACAGACATACCTGCACTGAACAGACATACCTGCACTGGACAGACATACCTGCACTGCGTGGCTTGTGTGTGTTGCAGGGTGTAGACAGCAAGCAGGCAAGGGATGGGAGCGGGCATCCCTTTAAAGGATGTCAGGCCACTGAGACCCGCTTTCCGCATTCCAGCAGTTAGCCACATGCCAACACACGAAGTGAAACTTTGCTCTTTGCCCCAGCAGCCATCGATCAAATGTTGCGAGGTCTTTCGTTGTTGCAAAAGGTCACAGTCAATGAACCCCAGTGACTGGCGCCCCACATTAAAACGAAGGTCTCGTTTGCGTTGCTAAGCAGTCACATTTACAGAAGTCAGATTTACAGAACTCATCTATATTCAGGTCTATATACAGGTATAATTTGTTTTGTCAACCCACTGCTGGATGAGTGCCTTTCCATGCTTTGCGAGCCATGAGGGATATTTGACCATACGTAACATCTCACCACTGTGGGACGCCACGGCGGCGAGATGTTAACTACCTGGACTGTTATGCAGGGGTCGTGGGTTCAATCCCTGTTGTCGCGTTTGTTTTTATCTGGGTCGTCAGGTTTTTCCCTCCACATTGCTAAACATGCGTTTAGAGCTATCATCTGTGACCACTACGCTTTTGAAAAAGAACCACTATATAACTCAGTGGGCCTTACCTGGTAAAAATAAAAGTTTAGTTGAATAAAGATAGTTTAGTTTTAGCAACATTGGATTTTGCTGCACTGCCCTCTACTGTCTGCAACGCCTCTCACACCTGTATTTTTATACATGGTGGTTATCATCCAAGCACATCCACTTTGGTGATTTGGCGGGTTTACATTGAAGAGCTAAACTAACAAAAATCTACAGAGCAACGTGACATTGGTCATATCCATCCGTGGCCTTGAACCCGGTGGTGGAAATTCTCAGCATTCCTCCGGTAGAAGCGAGCCTACACGGAGATGTCACCGCTTGACTTCGCGTAAAGTAACGGACCCAGAGCGGAATTTTAACTTGTAACCTTTCGCTTTAGAGTCAAGCTCTCGGTCACAGTGAATAGTGTATAACAATACGTATCTACGAGGATAAATCCAGTCAAAGCGTCTCTCTGCACCAGAGAACTATGGGATGATGCTAATCGCCACTGGTGGCCCTGAGCCCATTGATGGAAAACCTAATTTTCACGGTGGGAATAAGACACCCCCTTGAAGTTTTATATTTTGACATAATAACATTAACATATAAAATATGCAGCCTTTTGTCAATCTACTGCTGGGTGAAAGCCTCTGTTTGCCTTTTTATCATCGAGGTTGTTTGACCATACTTCACCATGCTGGTCAGTTCGTTATGGTAAAGAGGGGCGGGTATAACCGGTTCAGAATTAACTCACCACTGATGTCAGCTGTGACTGTGAAATTAACTCAATTTATCGGGTTCAAATTGCAGTGCACAAACTATTACGCCACCGATAGTTATCCTCCTATAAACTCGATTGAGACTAAATAATAAACAACTGTGCGACACTATTGGCCACAACAAGCTGCACGCAAACTCAAGTTGTCATGTACATGATTCCAAGAGCAGTGTTTGATTTTAAACTGAAAATGAAACACTCACATTGCTCTGTTTACTAGAAATACGTTGTTTAAGATCTAGTGGCCCTGAATTGTTCCTCATTATTAGTTCCTCTATATTAGTTGTTTATTCCCATCTAAAAACAAGCATCTGCACTGGGTAATTGAGGCTTGGGTTGAAATTCCACACTGCTTTGGCATAGACGATTCTGCCTGTAAAGCATCCCTGATTGACTTCTCACAAAGTTTTGCTTATTTTATCAAACCCAGGCGGATGATGAAATCAATCGATCCCTGACCATATTCGTACACAAATCCTTCTGATAGCGAGATGAGTGATCTAATCAAGGCACCACCCGGTTGAATGCTCTCCTGTCTAACGATGCAAAGTCAAAGTAACTCCCTGCTCCCACAAACTTGGAGCAGAGCTCATCGTCACTAGTGGTCCTAAGCCAGTTTGGGAAATTACACACTTCCATGGGATAGCCAGGTTCTCCCTTGTAAATTGTAAATAGCAATGAACTCTCGCATGGCTAAAGGACAACAGCCAATTACGCAGGCAACTCCATATAGCCTTTCCACATGACGCACCATGTAATGACGATGCGAGTCATGGCTCGGGCATTGTTGAGTGCGCTGCTGGAAACACTGGTTGCTGCTTACCTTCATTTTGTTCCGTTCATGGTCGCACTTAAAGTTGATAATAAAGAGTTCCATTTGATTACGAGACCATCCTGAGTGAGGTAATTTTGCTGTACTAATTAGTGAGGTTCCGTGGACATAAAATTATAAAACGCATGCAACGATACAACGCGTGCGATGATGAGACAATGCAATTTTGCAGTGCGCTACAAGCTTAGGGGTTTATTTGTGCGTAAACAGACAAGGGTCTGTATTCCTTGCCTAGAAAAAAAATATTCGTCTGCCAGCTGTTTTACAATTTATTTCACCAGGTATGGCTTGATTTTGTACATGTATTTTTATAAAATGATATATATATCAATCCAGAAAAGCCTCAAATGATTTTCAATGCTATTTTATATGGGGGGGTCCTGTATTGGGATGTTTGGAAAATCCTCTACGATGCGACTCCTAAAACCGAGCTGCAAAAAGAAATACATCCCACTCAAAGGTCCACGCGTCTGGGTTATTGGAAACCAACTTTATCTATTATCACCTCTTGATTACCCCTGAGGTAAGCATGTTTGGGAGTTATATCAACGTTATCACCAACCCACTTGCTGTACTGCCGCCGCGCATCATTAACAAGTGCCGATAAGGTGTTGTTGCTGAAAACACATTAGTGTTAGGATCAGCACAAAGTTTAACCGAGTTGTCAGTGGTGGCACAGTCCAGTGAGGCACGAATAATTGAGAAAAATAAGAGACGACAGGCCACAGCGGAACACTTGCCAGACCCCCCCCCCCACCCCTTAAGTCACTCCATCGCAACAGCAATCATGGGGGACGTTCTGTGATAAGGCAACACGCATCCAGCCTTTGCACTACCCATAACCGCGTTGTAAGTTGATAAAGATAGCGGACAGCCCCTACTGTAAATTCGAGTGCAATACGTGGAGGGGGAAGGTTCGGAGGCTGATTTATCGCTGCAAGTGCCTGGCAGCTAATTTCACAGCTGCCTGCGTGTTTGTCCTGTGTCGGTTACGCATTATCGGCAAATGTGAATTGGAATCCAATTGTGGTGTGCATGATGGGTGGCTCAAAGGATGGGTGTGATCTGAGATTATAGGTTGGCTTTTGTGGATTTTTCTAAGTGAATATTTGTTTTTGGAGTACAAATGAACACAATGCAGAGGTCTCATATTGAATGTTTAGAAGTGTCGGTGAGCTGCAAGGGATGAGAAATGGATGATGGCCAATGGACACGGCTGGTTACGAATTGGCATCCAAAGAAGGAATCCGCTCGAGAAGACGGCCACTGTGGAGTCGAGATCAGTTCAGGTGCATGAGAGATGGATCGTAGCATTGTTTGACTGTTTTAAAAAGAGAGCAGATGCAAATATCACACGTTCAATACAATTCAGGAATTAAATGGTATATTTTATGTCACATTCCTTAAAAAAGAAAATAACTTACATGAAACTAACATATGCACGTTTACAAAAGCAGAACTGGGAAAAGTCCGAATGAAATATTAATGGTAAATGCAAAACAATTAAGCAAGCTTAAAAAAAATCGAATAGTTTCTATAACAATATTAATAAAATTGTCCATTTGAATACACTTTGTAAATATAAATGGCTACGTTTTTTAACTTGTGAATTCATCTTAACTGTGACGGTAGAGATGGTGAGTGGAGGCTGATACAATATTTTTCTCTTACATGGAATGCAGTTAAAGGGCAGGATTCTCATCTTGACAAATGCTGATTTTTATCTGATGTCTAGCACAAATGTATAAATTTCATTAATAGCACCAACGGGACAAATCACCACAGCGATCTTTCGGCCGTTTCATTAATAAAATAATCTGACCCCATGTGTCTCCAGGTCAAAAGCAAAATTGTCTAAGCCAGTCAATACATTTCAGTTCCGTGCTGGAGCTCAGTATACCCACAGGACACACACTGCTAACTTTCGACTAAGTGGTACTCATTTGATTCCAAGAGTGGTTTGCCAAGTCGGGCTGAAAATTGAGCATTTTATTCTTTTAAACTTTCACCACGCGCTACTGTAGGCATCGTCAGGGGTTGGCGTTATCACGCACGCGTTAGGATGGTACGCGACCCAGGAGAGGGCTGATGGGCCGAGTGTGCTTCAAGAACGATTTGAACCTGTGATTTCTCATTGCCAGACGACTGCTCTGACCACATCATCGCATTGGAAACAATAACCCACTGCATAACTTAGTGTCCCTTGGACTATGCGTGTCATTGGTTTACCGCCCGGTTAGATAAAGTACCACAAACCCTCTTGAACCACAGGGTTAAGGCCATGAATGCACAAACACGGTGAAATGGCAAAATTGCACTGTCATTATCCCCATTATCACCACCCATGTCCCAAATGATAAAAAAAAAATACAACCATATGTAATGCTTTAACAGAAATGAACTTAACCATAATCGGTACACTTCACTGCCACGTGTATCTAGTCACATGCAACTGTGTGTGCGTGCTCATTGTTTTTAAAGGACACATCTCAAGGTGTACAAACGTTGGACTCCTTTGCTAATTTTGTCAACACACAAGCCAACCAGTGCATTGCTTGAAGCTTTTCTGTACGTCAAGAAAAATGTCACAAACACTGATAGGGGGTATACAACCATGTTGTGTTTGTCAAGTGTGTTTGCTGAATTAGCTTGGGCTAAATTAGCACGTTCATCCATTATTATTATTATTAGCCATCAGGCAGGACAGCCATCAGGCAGACAGCCTGATGATGCTAGTTGTAATTACTGGCAAAAAGTTGTACGCGAATTGTAAATGTTGTGGGTTTACTCTCCAACACACCGGTGTGCTGAACTAGGAACGAATTGGCATGTTTTGTTTACGTGACAAACTTTGCTAATTGGCTGTGATAGGTGGTGGCGGGTTTAACGACACATTTATATTTACGCAATCTTACCCAAAACACCTCTCTTATGGATAATATTTGTCGCGAAAGACTACATGTTAAACATTATCATATCCTTTATTATAATGCAAATAGAGGGCAAGAGGTCATGATGTATCAAGGCATTGATTCGACTGAACAAACCTCATTATTGCTTGCAACTGTTATTTTTCATAAGCACTTAATTTAAATATATTTAAATTATAAAATGTCAAGTGTTTCCCTCTTCAAATGCGCAATAGGACAGTGAGTTGGCAGCCCTAAGCGATTGGTGGAAATTACACGTTTCTATGGCGAAAGCCAATCTCTCCACAGAATAACCACTATTGACTCTCCACAGTAGAACTTATTTTATTGGCCCTGGGCAGATGATGAGCTTAGGCAGCTCCTGTCCAGGATTTGAACTCGCGACCTCCCAAATCTGAGTTTAAGAATTCTAAATACAACATTTTGTGCACAATCATAAGAAACAAAAACTCCAAACATTCTTCAATAACAGCTTGCGTCAAACTAGGACCAATATATCTAACAGAGAGGGTCCTTGCCTATAAACATCTTGCAGTTCACCAGCATTGCTTCAAGCAAGCCTTATGACAGTAAATGTCAAAGCCAGTGCAGAGTTTGCTCCGTGAAGAAGGCGTTTTGCCTGGTTATTTTATCTTTCATAACACTTCCCTAAACAAGAAAAATACACGAAAGCCGGCATTTCTGGCAATGGCCCTGCATCACAGCAGAAAGATGAACACGGCATTACGTGACTGGGTATAATACTGTATATATATACACATATACAGTAAATGGTGGTCCAAAACACTTTCTGGCCTCAATGCATTAAGCTGCATTTTTTCTTTGCTAAATATTTCACCTGGAAAATACCTTCAGAAGCAAATTTCTCCATGGCATGTTGCTTCCTTCCTACCTGTCAAAATCCTCACTACATCTCACATGCTGGATCTTACGCTAGTAAACCCATGTCTTATTTTCACCACAAAAACATCACGGCTTGCAGAATGGGAGCTTCCTGTCTCTCTGCCACAGGGATATACACTTGCACACTCAAGTGCAGCCCAGTGTTGTGGCGCTCAAATGCAGACGGGGTATCGCAGCCAGGTGCTTGCCAGCTGTGTGGCAGAAGAGGACTCGGTTTTGAGATACAGCGGCTTCTGCTGGTAGTGTTCAACCAGATCCACCACCGTCATGAAGCTGTGCTAGAAGGAGACAAGTGACACGTGCGGCCATGAGACACACATCCACACACACACCGCCGTCCCGTGTTACAGTGTGCTTGCTCAATAATTAAAGCAAGCCACTTTTAGGCATGTAACTATTGATCATATGAATAACAATTTTCTTAAAGCTCGAGGTTCATGGGTTAAAATCATGCGTGATTTGAGTAGACAGTCACACTGAGTGGACAAAAAAATGGAAATTAGTTTGAAAGTACTTCTATATTAAATCAAGAATGAGGCGGCGCTCATGTCGTGTTTACAGAACTGAGTTTGTGGTGGAAATTTCACATTCCTATGATGGGGGAAGTCCATTGTGAGGACAATCAAACATCATCATATTTTGGTGGGTGAAGCGGGGGATTTACAAAGGTGCTGTAAATTAATTGTTAACTGAATTCAACACTTCCCAGTTCTGAGGGATTACATGTATGAGCATATTGGATGACTGACCTACAGAGAACGGCTCTTTATTTCATTGTTTAACCAGGTGAGAACTCAAGAGACCAGGGTAGTCTCACTTTCAAGAGTGACCTGGGCATTAGTTTGCCAGTAGAATCCCAAATGATAAATTTGCGGGCCATTTTCGAATTTGGTAAACTTGGACCCGCGGTAATAATGAGGGCAGTTTGTTGATATGAACCTCTGCAACAAACGGCAAAAAGGGGTGCCGCGTGGCAAGATTTTATCTCCCTCGCCTGGTACGCTGGAGGTTGTGGGTTCCATCTCAACCCGGACACCTCTATATTTGGAGATTGCATGTCTTTCCCTGTGTTTGCGTGGATTTTTCTCCGGGTCCTCCGGTTTTCCCTGCAGATTTATTAACATGCTTTTAGAATATTTAGCTGCTATACATTTCCACATGATACGCTACTTCTTTGAGCTATATAGCTCAGTGGGCCTTACCTGATACAGTAAAAAAAAAGTAAAATACACTACTGCTAGGTTACATCAAAGGGGTGTCGACAAGCAATAGTCAAGAGACGCCAATCGATTGGCTCTGTGGTGTTATCTTCCAGGGCCGTCCCCTGCTGGCACGACGTCACGAGGCTCTGCTGGTGGTAGGGGGGGGGGGGATGGCGGCGCCCGCACCTCCTTGTTGAGGTAGAACTTTGTGGAGATGGGGTCCCAGTACAGGCGTAAGTTGTAGATGCTGCCACCGTAGTGAACCACCAGCGTGTAGGGCTGCGTCACCGTGTCCCCCGAGCTCTGTCGCACCAGGAATGCGCCGTCCTGAAGCAAAAGCCGTGGACTCTCAGTTCAGACATCAATAACCACCGATGTTCGCAGTGGCGAGGTATCAAAGTAACGGATATATCGCGCAGTTCGATAAGCACCGCACCACCACTCCACCATCCCCTCCCCCCTATCAAATTGAATACAGGCTACCCTCGGTTTGTGCGCTTTCGTGGTACGCCATTTTGGTATAACGCGTGCTTGAAATTTAGAACTTTTATTGACATACATGAGGTCATTTTCGGAATAACGTCACCCGCAATGCGACATACGCCACCCTAGCCTGGAACCGCAACCCCATGGCGTTGCCAGCAGCCAGTGTCGTATGATAACTAGTGTGCTATGCGGTACAACATCTCGTCGTGTGTACACCAGCGCCCTTCCCGTTGTTTCCACAACACAACTCCCATGTCGTTACACAGCGTAGGGGACTAAATTGAGAAGAAACGTTACACGGAGCTACTAAAGGTTTATAGAATAAAAAATGAACACACGGGGTGCTGAGAGAAATTACAAAGAGAACAGGTTGTGAAGGGATCATTAAGAACACAGGTGGCCGGATGTCTAACATTTGGAGAGGAAGGGGCACAGGTAGTGAAGGGATAATTAATGAGAGGGTGCTGTAGCAAGAGAACACAGGTAGTTAAGAATTAAGGACCGAGAGGGAAATATAACACATTCCTGCGTAGGGAGCTGGTAGGAACGTTGGGTTGCTCGGTCAATGGCCAGGGTCAACGGCGGCGTGGTGTATTCCGCAAATATGCCCGACTGTGAGGGCGGGCACAAGCCGGCGTGAGTAGGTTAAACGTTGAGTTTTATAAGGGCACCACGGGGTGACCAGCCCCTACCCACCCAGCCCCACCCCTCCCACCCCCCACCCAGCCCCACCCTCCCCACCCAGCCCCTCCCCACCCTCCCCTCCCCATCCAGCCCCACCCTCCCCACCCAGCCCCTCCCCACCCTCCCCTCCCCATCCAGCCCCATCCCTCCCCACCCAGCCCCTCCCTGCACGACGGACGGACACAATAATCCCGTGTGGGCTGGTGTAACCAGGAGGTTCCTACCAGTAAAAGGGGAGCGTCTCTGGCAATAGGCCTATTCATATATGCGAGGATAATATTGGTGATCCTGTCTGCGAGTGTGAGTGAAATCCCCTAACCCCCTCCTTTATCATTATTTCATATGGGGAAATTGTTTTTGACAAAAATGCGATTTTGAGATACACGCGATTTTTCAGGAACGCATCTATCGCGTATGTCAAGGAGTACCTGTACAATGAAATTAAATTTTCTGTCAAGTGACAAAACAAGTGCTATTTAGCATTCCATACTTTTAACATCCCTCAGGTTTGAAAAATGTGTTGCCCACAATTTAACATTCCTCCATTTGACCGATGATCGAAACAAGTTTTGGCACAAGACACGTTATCCTTGAACACTCTCTTACCTTGTTGTAGGACTGCACGACTTTCTTAGCCAAACGACTGTCACATTTGCCAGCGTACCACTTCTTGGTTTGCAGATCCTGCACACGTGCATCATCGACAGTCGTTCATATTAACAATACAATGATCATTGATATGTTCAATTGTTTGGTAATTAATATATGTTGAAAATATTCCAGCCTAACACCCTATATAAACACCAACCAAGTCAAACTTTAGTTGCCTTATAATTTTACATCCATATCCATATTTCTAGTTTTTTACTCCCAGCCTGATACACCACCATCTTTCGTCGTACAGGCACTGCACTCATGCACAAACTCCCCTCCCCTGACATCACGAAAGAACAGATGTTATCTATCAGCTTAACTCATGCTTATCCCCTGCCCAACCGCCCGCGACGTCACACGGCCTGCCACATGCCCCCCCCCCCGACCCCTTGACTCCTCCCCCCCTAACACCCTATATAAACACGTTGTCTCTTAATAACTCTCTTCATACGCTGCAGTAATTTTGCTGGAGCAGTCAACACCTGATGATGGTTGCTTGTGTTGCTTCCGAAACGTCATGATTAAATTTATTTATTTAAAAAAAATTTACCTACGTGACTTTACCGAAAAAACCAAAGAGTATGGATCCTTGCAGTCACGAAAACTTCAAATCTAGAATTAATATTCCAGCCTCTTTGTAAATTCACTGTTGGATGAAGGCCTCCCCACTTCATGTCAGTTATGGGGGTTGTTTCGTCATATTTACCCCGATTAGTAAGTGTGGGTTGGTAAAGGATGAGCCCTAGGACTAGTGAGATATCACTTACCACTGATTGTAGCCGTGGTCATAAATCTAACTCAGGTCGCCGGGTTCATAGCATAGTACATGAGCCATTGCAACAGCACTCAATTCTATATCGCATGATCGATCGGAATTCCCTGTGGTGGAATGCCATTGTATTTTGGGGCAAAGCAGCAGCAATGCTATGGGAAGGCTACACTCCAGGTGACACCACTAGAACACAAATCATTAGGCTGTTTCAGTTAACCTGTTATACCTCCTTTTTACTGGCACATTCCAAACAATGGTCAATAATTATGACAAAGTTGCAGCCAAGATATGGAATGAATCGAAGAGGATTTCAACTAAGGAGAAGGAGCAATGAAAATAGCTCGTGTGCGGCAGGTGCTTGGTGGATCATTACATTGCAGGATCGTGTGAGAGGTGGCTTCGGTGTGGGGAGGCCTTCATCCAGCAGTGGATGTTTAATGATGTCCGAGTCTGCGGATTGTGTCGCCTTTGTGCTTTAACTCACGTTAAATGAACTCGAGGCACTGTCGGCTGCCGTGGGCCAGGGTAAGGTAGCGCTGACCCTGCACCCTCCCATCCCGGCGTCGCTATGCGGGCACGAGGAGGACGGGGTCGGCGCGCCCGCTGCCGTAATGAGTCTGGGAGCGGTGAAGTTCCTGGGCACCCCCTTGGCCACATCACTGCCACCGACGCTGTCGAGCGCCGGTCTGAGGCCGGCGCTGAAGTTGCTGTCGAACAATGCATGGTGTAGATGTGTAACAGATGGCGATGTAACAATCCACACAGCACCTGTATAGTATCAACAAGGCTCGATTATTGCAACTTACTACTCAACGGAACGTCTGGCAAAAACATTACCAAGCTGCAGTGTGTACAAAATTCTCTGGCCACGTGTCGTGACGGGTAATGTAAGATCAGGCCATGTCCATCCAGTGCTCGCGGAGCTGCATTGACTTCTGGTTGCCGAACGAATACATTATGAGGTCGCACCCCTTACACACAAAGTGCTTGCCACAAATGAACCACAATACATTGCTGATCTCGTAAAGAAGCATAAACCATCACGTCAACTTCGATCATCCTCGCAGCTGTGGCTTGTGGCTAGTTATCGAACAAAGACGGTCACTGCATTGCACGCTTTCAGATGTGCTTCTGCGGCCGTCTGGAACGCTCTTCTTTCCGATATTAGAAAGCCACTGGAGCTTTACACTTTTAAATCTAGATTGAAAACTAATTTCTTCAGAAATGCTTTTTGTGTTTAGTTTCTTGTTCTTCCTCCGTACTTCCGATTAGTATGGTTGGCTACGTACGGTGTAAAAAAAGTTCAACATACATATATGCAATGTGTTGACGTTACTACATTACCACCTCTGAGGTAAAAAAAATTTCAGGACATACTGTATCATAGGAAAAGAGAATATCTCACGATATCAGATGATAGGATAACTACATGCAAATACAGGTTTGTCTTTCGCGGTGTATGATCGTGCAACTGACAAAAACGAGACTTCTAATCTTGAGGCAAGACTTACTGGTTTTTAAGGAGAGCCATCTCAACAAAGAGGGTCCCGTGGGAAAACCAGGACAGGGAGCAACCCTACCATAGGCAGCTACTGGTAATTCATTATTATTCCTCTCTTTTAATTGGGTAATCAGATTACTGTACTTAGAATGTACAGAAGCAAGCCAATAAACAGAGGCCCCGACATGCAGCCCGCTGGCGGTCAGAGCATTGTGCTGCTAATTCAGAAAAAGCTACACCTAATGTATGTCAATTTGAAGAACTTGATCGATTAATAGGATCAGGAAGCTTTGACTATATCAATTATACAATGTAATTATGCTCCAGACAGTTCCCGGTTGACGGGAGGGTTAGGTTCCGTAGAATGATCCATAACCCGAATTTTCCGTATGTTGGAAACTGAACAATTTTCGCCTCGCTCCACGGTATTCATCCTCAACCTCACCGCGCAGCACTACTTGCACTTTCGTAACTAACGAAAACATTTCCACATGTATTTTTACATGATTTATTGGAGCATTTCTGTAATGTCGGATTTCTGTAAGTCGGGACTTCTGTAATCCGGGGACTTACTGTACTTGAACTTTAGAGTACAGTAGACAGTGATCATCAACTCAAGAAATTTAATTGCTGTGACAAAAGTAAAAAAATAAACGTGTCCATGCTAAGATCCCTGGATCCCAGCAATGCCGGCTCAGTGCCTCTCACTCCACATTATCTCGGCCAAGCCACCCTGTCCACTCTGACCGCTCACCTGAGTGGAGGCAGCGGCAAGGGGATGAAGGCCCTGGGCTGGGCAATCCCTCGGGCGTCTGGCAGCGGCCACGATGAGGATGCCACGGGTAACTGAGGAAGCTGTCCTCGTCCGTGGCCACTCTGGCTCTCTGAGTTGCCCTTGTGAATTTCGCCGGAGAAACACCTCTGTGAACGGAGTTCTGTTTTCCGTTTTTGTTTAAGAGGCAGACGGACAAAGTAATTAGCATGCTGTTTCCAGAAAGGGAATGCTTGTGAGTTTCGTATTTATAAAACCGTGGAAGCACATAGCTCGTGCTGTGTTGTGGAAGTTGCTGGCCGGTTGGACACTGAGCCACTCCTTAACCCAATTATTCACCACACCCTCCACCTCAACCCACGATTCAATGAATTGTCGCAATTCAGGATGGTGATTCATGTATGCATGTATGATGCACTTTTTTTCGCACCGTACGTAGCCAATCGTGCGAATCAGTTCAATCATTATTTATTTGGATTCGGAAAGTCAGGTTTTGGGGAGGTCATGATTGGGAAAATTGAGTTTAGGGTGTCAGGTTTAAGGCTGGGTTGTTGATGCCACCACAGTTCCACACTTTACCATCACTTAATTCCTTCTGCCAGATCAGCTGTTGAAAATTTGACTTCCAACTTCCCAGGTGCGATTCTACAGTTCCATCACCACCATCACCTCACTTTAGGTTTCTCCCTTAATAATTTGTCTTGGCACCCTGTCATCTTCCATAGAGGGCAGTGTTCTGTATGTGAATGGGCACACTGACAGGACATTAGCTGTATCAATGAGACTTGTGCAGTAACATCACCTTTTCCAGGAGTTTCCTTGGGAAAGTCCTTCTCCCCTTGAACCAAATTCTGCATTAACAAAAAATAGTATCGACATGAAGTAGCAATCATAATAATAATGTCTATTGTAGTTTTATATGGCGTCAGTCATGCAAAATGCATCTCACAATTAATGAGGAACCACATACATGCTGGAAGGCAGCAAGGCGCCAATGATTCCCCAAGCCCTTCAAGTCCTCTATGTATTAAGATGTATTCAGAAAAGTCATGAGTGTTTATACAAATCAATATAACTTATGAAGTATCTGTAAGCAGCCGCATCTGAAGGAGATGCTGTACAAAAAAAGTGCAGAAATGCTAATTTTGGTTTAAAAAAATGAGGTTAAGTGGAAAATTCAGGGAGAGCAGAGCGCTGAAAAAATGTAATGAAATGATGATCTGTATAATTGTTTCGTCTTACTTCACAAGCCTACACCGTCCAATGTGACAAAGCATGCTCAAACAACTGCCATGACTGACAATGTGGGAAAGCCTCTGTCCAGCCAGTGGATTGTCTGTACACAAGTGAAACTTTTTTTTCCACGACCAATGCAACATACTGCCCGGTTCCCCCCCTAAGCTCTGCTCATCGTACGGTGGCCGAGATATCGAGTGTCCAGGCGTTGCAGCTGCACTTGAGCCCATGGGGTAGAGGGGCCCACCGGGCACTGCGCAACAACGAGTAGAGGGGTGGGAGGTGGTGGTGTGGACGAGCTCTGTAGAGGGGCCCCCAATTTATTCCTCCCATCAAGGTCCCCGCCAACCACGAGACCAAAAGATTTCATCCTCAAATTCTGCTAAACACAGACGACGTGAGCGTAATCTCTCGCTGGCATCGGAGCGAGCAGGTGGGACAGGGTTAAAGAAGGGTTGGTAGTGGTCACCGTTGGCTCCACCAAAAACTATGAAAATTTATGATAATCACTATGATTCGCCTTCTTCGTGGAATTGTTGTCCAATGATCAACATGGTTACCTGCCTACCTGTCTACCTACCTGTTCGTCTACACCGGTCTGTTCATCTGTATGCCAGTGTCTCTGTCCTCACCTTCATCGGGCCGGGCCCACATGAGCTGATGCTGAGCGAGGATTGGAGGTGGGAGGGCCGTGGTACTGGGCTGGGGGGGGTCTCGGCCCTGCTTGTGGAATCCCCCCGGGGGATCAGGGTGGCTCTCGCAGACTTCAATACCCCCCTGGTCGCCGCCACAGCTAAGCGAATACAGCAAATACGTGATTAACAAAAACAACAACCGCCAAGAAGTGACAGTGACGTCGCCAAAGCTCATTTGCCAGAGTAGGTGCACTTTGAGGCCACGGAAAATGCTGAATGTATGTTTTCACATGACTGAGACTGAAGAGAAACTTCAACCATTAAAAAGCGCATGTTTAACACATAGGCTTTCGCGACCAATATCATTCATAATAGAGATGTTTTGGTTAGATCGCGTAAAGCACATGACAATATTTGTAGCACTTACTATTTTGGGGTGAAATATCTTCTTCATTCTCATAATCAAACTGAAAGTAAAGAACAATTTCATTAGACACGCAACAATGCATAATTTTTCCAATTGATTGTTTATTAAAACATAGTATGTTTATCGTTGGACAGAATTACATTTTGGGATCAGGGAGAGAGGGAGGAGTCTTTCAACATCAGAGGGTGGGCCCAACCCGGGCAGGTAACAGTGGAAATACTGAGCTAGGATTGGTCATCTAGGTTCAAAAGCAAAAGAGCAGGAAAGTGGAATAGGGGGAGGAGACAGTGAGGAGTTGGTTGGGAGACAGAGAGACGGGATTGGTGGAGGAAGACGGGGGACTGCGAGGGAGGGGTCAGGGATAAAAGGAGAGGGTCAAGAAGGGGGAGAGGGGACAGCTGGGAGAATTAACCTTATGGCGGTACCCCGGGGTACCAGAGTACCCCGGCTCTTGCACTAATGTCCGTGATGCAGTCATCTTTAGTCTGTTTATGGTTGGCGATGCGGCAATAGACTCATCTTGGCGAGCTGTAATCGATGCACTATTAAACGTTAAATTTTTCGATAACGGATTTTTTATGTTAATGTTTGGCGTTTCGACATCGCAGAGTAGCACTGATTTCGGATTGATTGGTACCCCAGTCGCGGAGTTAAGTACACCCCCTGAAAACATAGTATCCCAGAAATAAAATATTGAATTTCCTCGGCCATTTTGTATTATTTTGTACCCCGGGGTACCACCATAAGAGTCAAATGATGTCTGGAAGCTTGTCAGTCGGTGTGCTAAAATAAATGTCCTCAAAGCCGACGTCGGTGTCCTGAGTCCCTCTATGTATGTATTATTAGCACCTTCGATTAGCATGGTTGGTTAAGTACGGTGCGAAAGAAGTTCAACATACATACGCACTTATTTCGACTACAATAACACCTAGTAATTGACAAATGTGCGAGATGACTAGTATTACAAACAACATTTCTCGAGCAGTGATTGGAACCCATGTCCTTTGCAGATTATACTAAAGTAACATCGAGTATATTGTATAATGTACAGCCCTTTGTCAAACCACTGCTGGATGAATGCCTCACACCATGCGGGTCACGGGGGTTCTATGACCATATTTCACCCCGCTGCTCAGTGCAGGTGAGCAAAGGAGGACAGAGGACCAGTTCCGATAATGCTTGCTACAGATGGCAGCTATGGGGCCGGGAATGGAACTCAAGTCGGTCGCCGGGTTCATAGTGCAGTGCGCTAATCACTGTGCCACTACTCCCCTTTGTGATATCGTATAGGCCTTCCACTTGTCAAATGGCGATGCCGCCCTTTCTCGGTTTCCATTATATTTGCCGTTTCTGCCCCACTGAATGGCTTTTTCCTGGTAGGACAACGTATACTGATGATGGGAGTACATATCGATATCAATTGTAAAAAAAAACATAAGTGATGAAGAGTTTTACCGCATTCATATGTTCAACAGGCTTCGGTCTTCGCGGTTTTTGGGATCCTGCGTGAGGAAACATACCACATTAATATATTACTTGGCATTTCAGCACAATAAAGAAAAACATTCTGGCTGACCGTTAATTATTATTTACTACTATAATGAGCTAAGAATGTCCGTGTGTCCTGCGTGTGACGTCACTCTACGTCAGCCAGCTCCCCTCATTAATAATCATGAACAGGTGACGTCCTCCACATGGACCCCCCCCCCCTCATTAATAATCATGAGCGGGTTACGTCACTCCACAAGCATCACCCCCCCCCCCTCATTAATAATCATGAGCAGGTAACATCACCACATCGAACAGCCCCCCACATTAATAATAATGAAGACGTGACGTCTTCCAAATGGACACCTCCCCTCTATTAATATAAATTAGCGGGTGACGTCACTCCACATGGGGGGACGAGGCACCCCCCCCCCCTCCTCAGCGTCAGCTTCCAAACCTCACTACAAAGGCAGAACCCTCATATCACGTGATCTCCGTAACGCTATTGAGACAGAAGTAAAAAGGATGTCATGATGAACAAGGGATTATAACCTTTACATTAATTAAGTCTGTGTCACCACGCTCTTACAAATTGCACACGAATTGATTCAATGAATATCACATCGCGGTCTGCTTTTCGCTTGCAAGTTTCAGATTTACTGAAATACACCCTGTCTTTGGACGGGCAAAAGACTAGTACAGCAATATTAGTCCTCTTTATTGACACAGGAAAGTCTCACTGAGACCCGAAAACATTTTGAGTGGTTCTTGCTAAAACTAGATTCGAAGCTTGCTACATTTAGCAATTTATAATGTCGGAGGAAACTGCAGTGACACACTAGAGTGCATCACTTTCCCACCAACCCGGTTACAGCATGAAATGGTCAATGCATGACAAACAAACCAATATTTTTTACATTTTCCGCAGGAATCTAGCCAGATTGAGTGCAGACCCAAATTTAACGCAAGGGCTTTATTATACAAACAACGATGACTAGGATAAGAACATCAACACGCGACAGGGTAATCACAAGCGGATGTCTGTATTTCAGAATCCGAATTTGTTATTTCATCCTGGATTAATCCAATGAGCTATGAAGCTCTTTTTCATAGATGTCGAGTAGGGGCACGGGCATCAGAAAGTTGAAAAAACAATACAAAAACGACGGAGGAGTGCAAAAAACGGTAGAGGAGTGCTAACTGGAGGAAAGGTAAGCAAGTCAGCGGTGCAAGCTCAGTGTCTCTGACCTCTGACCCAATATGCCATCTCAGACGATGGTACCTTTGGCAGGAGAGAGGCTGCCGAGGTTGGCGTTCGCCCCATTTGGAATGATGTAATCCATATCGCTGTCGCTCGATGAATCCTGAGTGCTGCTCTCCTTGTTGGATGCCTGGTGCTGCCCAGCCTGAGTGATGCAGTCATCGTAAATGCAAGCCTGCAACACGGGGAGCACGAAGTGCTAAGATAGTGCTTTGCAACCAGTTCGCACAATGGACTTGCAATATTCGAATTGCCGGTTCAATCTCCAGGCTCAGCAGTTGACGCAATGCGCACATTTCTTAATTGACCTGCCTCTGTTCACCCAGCAGTAACAAATGTATACACCAGTAAATCGACCGCAATGTTGCATGTAGTGGGGTAGAGTGTGGGTCATTTTAACTCTTTCAAAGACATCTGGTCAGTGTGGAACTATTGGCCGAAATATGCTCTAGAGATCTCCAGAGCTCCCTGGAGTGGAGGCCCTTCCGCCAGCAATGGAGTCAGCAATGGAGTCAGCAATGGAGTCAGCAATGAATTTCAGGGCTGCACGTTTACCTTTTTATTCATGGTAACACATTCCAGACCACTGTTTCAGGTTTGTCACTTTTGTCATGCATCCATCAGATGGGAACATTTTACTGTAATGTCTTACGGTTATAGGGTCATGAGGTAAAAAAACCTAGTCGTGGGTCATTTCAGATATTTGTCACTCCAGGGTAGATAAAATGAGTTCCACTTAGCGTGAAGTCAGGAGGTGTTTCAGATAGAGAGAATGGCATCTGCATTTCTGTCACTAGCTCTGGGCCAGTCGTATTACTGATCCCTGCCGTGGAAATGTGGAATTTCCACTATTGGCTCATGAAGATGATGCTCATTTGAGCAATGACACTTTTAACTCTTGAGAGTTTTACCGCGATAGTTTACTCATGTATTATATTTCCGAATAAAACAATGCCATGCATTAATGAAAAGAGAATGCATTAGAGAAAGAATAATGCATGTGTGACAGGTTTTTTCCATGAATATGTTCATACCTCTGATTTGTATGGCTCTGAAAAAAAACAGACAACATAAAATTTAACAGCATTGTTAAATAACTGGCTGATAGAGACATCCTCGTGATCAGCTCATTTCAGCAATGCCTGCACGTAAACACTGCTTTGGGGCTTTGCTTGGCTTGGCCCAGATCTGAAAATGTATTCGTCAGACAGGAATGTTGGGTAAGCACTTGATCATAGTGAGATAGCTGCAGTTACATGCTGTCTATATGCAGTAACATTTATGGTACGATGTATTTGTTGGGTATTGGTGGCGTGATTTGAGTATCTGTTTAACAAATCGAAGGGTGCAAGTTCAAACCCTAGTTGTGGATTGGCGCAGCCCATCATCATCATCGTCCATTTGGTGTGCGGAAAATGAGCACCACTGAGTGGGAAGTCAACAGTGGTTGACCCAAGCATGGCCTGGCTCCTGCCATAGAAGCAGGGGATTTTCCATGACTGGATCAGGAACAGCCACAAATAAAGATGTTTGATTGAAATATGATGAAGGTTTAGACGAACGGCAGGTGAGTGTCTTTGTGGCTGGCACTGAACTGTGAAGTGCATATGCGGAGTTTGGTAGTTTTGTGGAAAGGCCGCGAGATGGCACGTTTGCTGCTTGTTGCAGAGGCTGAGGGTTCAAGTGCCCCAGCTCCCCTGGTAATTATTGCTGGTGTATTGACCGCTAATGTGTTATCTGCTGGTGTATTAACCGCGGGTGTATTAACCGCTGGTTTATTATCTGCTGGTGTATTATCTGGTGTATTACACGCTAGTATGTTATCTGCTGGTTTATTATCTGCTGGTGTATTATCTGGTGTATTACACGCTAGTATGTTATCTGCTGGTGTATTTACCGTGGGTGTATTATCTGCTGGTGTATTATCTGGTGTATTACACGCTAGTGTGTTATCTGCTGGTGTATTTACCGTGGGTGTATTATCTGCTGGTGTATTAACCGCTAGTGTCTTCTTGGTTCTTTCGGTAAAGTCACGTAGAAGGGAAGTAATAAAATAATAAAAATAAACATAATAAAACAATTCTCACGACGTTTCGGCCACAACGCAAGCAGCCATCCTCAGGTGTAAACCAGGTCTGTCGAGGCGACAGCGTCTGAATGAAACAGCACACGTGCTTGGAGCATATATATAAGCTGGGTTGGAAGGGGGGAAAAGGAGCGCCTTGACAAAAGAATTTGCATATCAAGAGGCATTTAGCATATTTATGGGAAATGCAGGTATGTGATTAGTACTTCCAACCCAGCTTATATATATGCTCCAAGCACGTGTGCTGTTTCATTCAGACGCTGTCGCCTCGACAGACCTGGTTTTCACCTGAGGACGGCTGCTTGCGTTGTGGCCGAAACGTCGTGAGAATTGTTTTATTATGTTTTATTTTTATTATTTTATTACTTCCCTTCTACGTGACTTTACCGAAAGAACCAAGAAGATGAATCCCTGCAGTCACGAAAGCTTTAAATCGAAATTTAACCGCTAGTGTGTTATCTGCTGGTGTATTAACCGCTGGTGTATTAACTTGAGGATTCCATTTTATTCAATAAATAGTAGGCCGTGTGTCAGCCTCACTATCCATATTTTAAAAAATACTCAATTGGGAAAACACATCGCAATCATCACGCCCGACTGCAAAGCTACTGTAGATTGTCTGTGAAATGAAACCTTTATGACAGCCTTGCACTATAAGAATGACACTAATATCAAATGTGGAAATGATTAAAATTGATGAAACTAATGCACCTTTATATGGCAAGTCTTGTTTGTAGTCGGGAGGAGGAGGAGTTGGTGGTTCTGTCTTCACGAGTCTGTAGCGAAATCAATTTGGAGACAGCAACAACAACAACCACACCAACACCAAATACTGTGAACTCAGCATGTCCTCTATTTTCTCAGAGAAGCCTCACAGACTCCTAAAACGTCTTCTCAACAGGGCCCTGCAACTGTGGTGTTTGGAAAATTGCTCTCCGATGGGTTTTGAGCCTGGGAGGGAACCAATGCATGCCTAAAATAAAATGACTTGGAGGATATAACATGTACAATTATTCATGTGCAGGGCAATACCACTCAAAGGCCTGCTCAGATGGGTTTGTGAACCCACTTGATGCACTGCCACCTGCTAGCCACGTACAAAGCAGGCCAGTACGATCGTGTAGGTCATTATGTGACTATGTTGCGGTAAAGATATTTACGTTCAACCTTTCCCAGAACCAAACTGTAAAAAATTGTAATTACCACCCCAATGTAGATATGCTTCATGCGGTTTCCATTGTGTAAAGACGCCAACACATGTTGTACTTGGAGCCTTTCTTTATTTGACAGAGCACCAACACTGGGCCCCGCTTCTCTCGCTTTACTCTTGAAGCTCAACGTCCCCTCCCCCCTTGTGTTTTTCCCCTTTGAACCCTTTTGGAGCCCAAATCTCTCGAAACGTCTCTCACTGTCCTCCATTCAGCCAACCCCGTCCTCCCTCGAACGGTTCCCAACCGTCGCCTCAGTTTGAACCTCTCCTCCAATCCCTTCTAACCTTGCATCCCGATCAATCACCATGCAGGCCTCTTGGCACCTACCTCCTGCTAAGTCTGTTTGGCTGCACGTTTGGTTCGGGTGAGTGGTCGAGAATTTCGGTCACGACAATTGCAAGAAATAACGACACTCAATAGGATCTCACTGAGTTAAATACACAACACCGAGATGATAGCAATTTGACCAGAAATATTCATAAATTAACCGCAGCAAGAAGCCAATAGGAAATCAATGACCATGTGTAACCACAGCTAAAAGTTCGTGAAAACGCTCATCCTTGTGTAATAGCCACATACATTCGAGACAAGTTCACTATTTTTTTCTATTGCATAACCGGAAACCGCTTTGATATTTCATTTCATCCAAATAATTCACTGCTGTGGGAAGCACTATTACTTACCCGTGAAATTATCACGCTCAGGACTTTTTCACAATGGCCCTGCATTGGGATATTTGGTCAAATCCATTTTAGAGTGTTTGGATTGCATTAGACGTATAAATTTGTCTGCTTCATACTTGAAAATAAGCAGCAAATATTAAAAAGTATTGTCTCTGTAACTTAATTTTACCTGGCGCAGCCATCTTCCAGCCAACGGAAGATTAAATAATTTCCGAACTGCGACTATGAAGTCCAAACCATCAAACGTATCAACGACAAATGTGCCGTCCACACAACATCCCGCGATCTACCCTGCGCCTGCTGCTGCTGCCTCCTTGGACCAGTTGAACAAACTTAGCATTCGACTTGAAAACATTGCAACTAGAGACCGAACGAAACTGAATTTCTGGTTTCGAACGAAACCGAAACCAGACCGAAAGTAAAAAATTGACTTTCGGCCGAAAACCGAAGCCGAAAGTTTAACTACACTTTCGACTGAGACTGAAACAGAAAGGTATACAGTATAACCGAAGATTTATGAAATATGTCATGATGCAATGCTACTTTAATTAAAACGAAATCTAGAACTAATCATTCAGAGCCTGCAGTAAGAGTCGCTAAATATAAAATCTTTAGGTGTGACTTACTTAGTAATTATATCCAAACAAACGAATGTTGTAGTTAAGAAACAACAGTTTTTCCGCATTCAGCCAGACAGGCTGCCATCTGCTGACTGGTCGTATCTACATTAGCTGGGCGCCCAGCTTATATATATGCTCCAAGCTCGTGTGCTGTTTCATTCAGACTCTGTCGCCTCGACGGACCTGGTTTTCACCTGAGGACGGCTGCTTGCGTTGTGGCCGAAACGTCGTGAGAATAATTTTATTATGTTTTATTTTTATTATTTTATTACTTCCCTTCTACGTGACTTTACCGAAAAAACCAAGAAGATGATGTAATTAACTTTACGTTATTATTTTGGTGACTCTTGCAAATGAGACTCAATCATGTTCTCATTTGGTGAAAAAAATTAAAACTGAAGAAACCTGAGTGAAAACCCACACATATAAACACTGCCACCTCCTGGCAGTTTATCGCTAAACCCATTCTAATTTTATATCATTCTCAATCGGCAAAATATTTGAGTTTGGAAAAAAAATCGCCAGTAAAGAAAATATCAAATCAAAAAAGTTAATTGTCCGCCTTCTGAAATGAACATGGGTTGTGTTAATCTCCGTTTGCGACCCTGGGCGAAGTTTCACATTCTCGTGGTGGTTGCCAGGCTCTGTATTCGGATAACCACCGTTAACATATTCAACGTTAACATGCAAAAACATTGTCACGCGGAAATTTCCGAGGTACCAGTACCTGTAGCGTGACCCAAACCATCGGCTCCGCAGAAACTAGCTCAGCCAGCAAACGCTTTGACCATTCTGCTACCACCCGGCCTTGTTGTTCATTATGGCATCATTGGTCAACTTTTCTCCGAACTATAAGGTATAAGAAGGTTTCATATTGTATTTGCCAAAGACTTTTTTGCGAAAGTTGACCCAGAGCTTGTGCTGCCATTGCGGAAAGGAAGCAGACTGCGTCCGCACAACATTTCTAAGAATTATGGCAGTGATGAGGATATTCGGGGAAGAAAATAACTTCCTTTAACTGTAAAGAGTAGCGCTGCTGTCGGTCGATTGGGAAATATCTATTTGCGGTGAATGACTAAACATGGTGTGAGAAAGAAAATGTAGTGCTGTACGTATGCATGCATGTGTAGGGGTGTCAGGGGAGGGATTCCCACCAATAGATGGGTTAGTGGGAGGGGTGATCGAGGAGATATAAGGAGAGAACGGGCGGGAAGAAGGGGCCTTTGACGGGAACGAGATTGGGACGGCTGGGGACAGGTGTGGATGGAAGGAAAGGAATAAAGGACGAGACCCCTGCAATCTGGTGTCGGCTCCCCCTTTACATCTGGTGGCAGCGGTGGGATTTCAATGGCTACAAAGAAAAATCCCCGCGGGAAAGAGCCAAGGGAAGAGGAAGCAGGGGCCGGGGATCCTTCCCATCCCGGGCAACAAGGGGGCCTGCTATCAGAAGCAGCAGCAGGGGCCCGGATCGCCTGGAGGACCCCATGGAGGACCGCATGGCCCGCGTGGAGAGGGCACTCCAGGAGCTACTACAGAGGCTCCCTATGGGGGGCCCGCCAGCACCGGGACCCCCACCCCCACGCGTACTACGGGAGGAAAGGCCACGGGACCAGGAGGCCGACCAGCCGGCCGGGCAAGAGCCGCAACCAACCTCGTCACGCCAGCCGCCGCCGCTCCCGCCAAAACCCCCAGGGCTAAACACCCAACACGGAGAGCAGGTGGCCGGACGGCCGCGTCGGCTGGGGCCCGTCGACAAGTTCGTGGCTGAGGAAGAAGACTGGGAGGAGTTTGTCCGCCGATTCGAGGCTGCCTTCCACGCTCTCGAGTGGACAGACGAAGAGGCACTACGAGCGCTGCCATCCGTTCTGGGCAAGGAAGCACTCTCCTCTTACACCCCCCTTCCCTCGCACAGCAAGACCACGCTACAGGCGGCCTACGAGGCTTTGGGGGAGATCTATTGCCCAGCGGAATGAGCCTTTAAACGGTTCCAGGATCGCCAGCGAGGGGCTAAAGAATCCCCTTTAGCCTACAGGGGTGCGCTGCTCGTGTTGGCGAGGAGAGCTTTCCCTCGCCTGGCTGAAGAAGCGCTCGAGGACCTCGTGGTCGAGCACCTCATCGCCTACGCTTGCCGCGCCGGCGTTGTAATGCCCGTGGTGACGCCGGGGGAACGCACCTCGCTGTGGGCTTCCCGGACCATCCAAGCCCACGAGCAGGTCATGGGCCGGGCGCCACCCGTGGGCCCGGTGGCTGGCGCGGCGGGGGGGAACAGCCGAGCCGTTGCCGCGGCGCTACTGGGTCCAGCGACACCAACCGCCGAACCTGCACCGTCGCCACAGGCTGCCTGTGGGGCAGCTGGGGACGGACCCCCGACGTCTGAGACGGAGCCATCGCTGCGGGAGGTGTACGCGGCGATCCGGGGACTGGCGGAGCAGAGGAACCAGGGGCGCGACCAGCCGCCGCGTCGCTGGCAGCCGCCTCTACAACATCGCGCCGAGCCCCCCCGACGGAACGCCCCGTGGGTCTGCCACCGTTGTGGTCGAGAGGGGCATGTGGCGAGGGGGTGCCGCACGGAGCCGGAGGCCGCCAACGTCACCTGGAACCCGCCAGGGCCGAACGCCGACAGGATCCAGGCGAGTGACGCCGTCCCGCCCGGCCTCTCGGTCGGGCCGAGCAATTACAATTCCGACGCCGCGAACTTACCGGGAGTCTCCTCGGGGTGGGCGCCGTCGGTGTCGTTCCCCGGTCCCCATTGTCTGGGTCAGGGGAAGGGGATCGCGCCGGTGATAGCGCCGGGGCCTGTGATTGCGTCGCGACCCGGAGTGGCGTCGCGAACGGACGTGACGTTGCATCCGGAAGTGACGTCGCGGCCAAAAGTGGTGTCGCGGATCGCGCCGGGAATTGCGCCGAGGCCGTGGACCGCGTCGGGAGTCGCGCCGAGGCCGGAGACCGCGTCGGGAGTCGCGCCGAGGCCGGGAGGGACGTCGCGGGCGGACGTGACGTCGCGGGCGGAAGTGACGTCGCGGGCGGACGTGACGTCGCGGGCGGAGGTGACGTCGCGGGCGGACGTGACGTCGCGGGCGGAGGTGACGTCGCGGGCGGGCGTGACGTCGCGGGCGGGCGTGGTTTCGCGGGCGGGCGTGACGTCACCAGTTTGCCGCGACGCCGGCGAGTTGCCAGGGGCAACGGCCCGTGTGCGGAGACGGCACACAAAATTGACATTGCGCCCTGGAGCAGTTCCACGGCCCGCCTCGCCACCGCTTTG